CCTGTTCCCTGAACCAGGGATCCTGAAACATGAGGCTTATCTAGAGCTGGAGTGGAGTCTGGGGTCTGGGGAGGTTGGGGGAGGAGGGCTCACATCCAGGCAATCACTTCATTAAGTATGTGCTGAATAACCCACAGCCCCATACCTGACTCTTCAGGCGCTTGCAGGTAGTGGGCGCTCAGATAAGAACACAGATATATAACTAGAACTCTACCTAGAGACCCTCTCATAAGGTGCTTTGGGGACCTAGGGAAACAAGCAATTCCAGACAGTAGACTATCCTCCATATAGCTCTTTATTAAACACCCACTTTGGCTAAGCAACATCCTTCCTCTGTCTCCTAATCCTGGCCCAGATACCCCTTCAGGAGTACCCTCAGAAGGTACTCTCAAGGCCAAGAGTACTTAAGAGACTAGTAAGAGTCAACCAGGAGAGGGAGGAAAAGTAAAACCTCAGGGAAAGGAAAGAAGCCTGAACTAGACACCTGATGATTGTTCCTGCCCAGCACCCTTTCATCCCCTTCTGGAAATAGCACCCCCACCATACCACCAGGCACCAGTTCAGGTGGATACATGGCGGGCCTAACCACTCACTGTAGTCCACCTCTCTGTCACAGTGATTACTTGAGACTGGGGACCTTCCTGGTCTGGACCAATGAGAACAAAATGCAGGAGTCTGTCAGCAAAGGGAGCACTTTCCACCAATAATTGAAGCCTAGGTTCACTCTATGAAGCCTGAGAATAAAGCCAACTCAAAGGAAAGTAGATTCAAATGCAAAGAGAGACAGGTCCCTGATGTCACTGTTTTTAGTCCTGGGAAGTCCAATGGCGCCCTGGCCTTTTCAGCTACGTGAGCCAATAAATTCCCCCTCTGGTTTAAGGCAACTGGAGACTTTCCTTCTGCCCACTCTTTCTGGGAGTATTCTGAGGACAAAAAGACTTTTTCTCTAGGGCTAAAAAGTAACTGTCTGGTGACATACTGTCCCCAGGGTGAGGGCCACCATGGAGACAGAGTCCAGCTGGCCTTTCCTAGGATACACACCGCTGACTGTCAACACACTTCCTAACAATATCAGCGCATAATTATAGACTCATTCACTGTTTGTAGTAACTATTGTTTCCGTCTTCCCAGCACATCTTGTTTTGTAATGGACTCTGCTGTTCCCCACCATGGGCATACAAAGGAAAGGCCATGATGGCAGCGCCTGTGGCTCAGTGAGTAGGGTGCCGGCCTCATATATGGAGAGTGGTGGGTTCAAACCCAGCCCCAGGCAACTGCAATAACAACAATAAAAAGTAAATAAATAAAAAGTCTTAAAAAAAGAAAGAAATGTCATGATGCAGAATGGGTTAATCATATGGCTGAACACCTGTGGCCACAGTGATTGATCCCAAAGTACATGGGACTCACAACAAACCACTGAGAACTTTGAGATTTTCCAAATTAGAACTAAAAGGGAGAAAACATTTCACTCAGGGTCACCAAGATAGAAGACAAGTCTGGAGCTTTGAGCTGTCATGTCCTCCAATGCACAGAGAAGGCCCACTTGCAGCAAAAGGGAACACAGAGTCCTGACCAGGTTCACTTGCTGTCTCCCACGGTCTTTTCTTCCCCTCCCCCTTTTACTACTGGAACCTCCTTCCTCATAGTTTTGGCTACCCAACTAACGACTAAATTTACAGCCTCCCTTATCAGTAAATATGGCCACATCACAAGACTGCAGGTCCCTGGTACCTAATGACATTGTGGAGCCCAGCCACTTCACTTACTTGTCCGGAACCACCTGCCTATCTGTCTTTGTGCTATTAAGGGAGAGACAAATAAACATGTCTTGTTGGAGTCATTGTATTTTGGTGGTCTCTCTGCTTCAGCATCCCAGTCTTTATTAACAGAAAGATGAAAAACATAAAAAACAAAAAGCTCTAAGGGGGTTTACATCTTAGGACATAGTTCCTGCAATGATAGTAAGTTATTACTTACAGAGAACTTTCTTAGTGCCAAGAACTGTCCCTAGCACCTCATTTAATCCACACCAACTCTCTTGTTATGCCTGCTGCGCAGTTAAGATACCAAGGAACAGAGTGATTAAATAACTTGCCCAAGGTTCACATTACATTGCTACTCAAGCTAGTCTTTTGCATGATGTGTTGTATAAGACAATAAAATCCCTTTTTAGCCTAAACTGGTTCAAACTGAATTACTGTCATTTGCAACAAAGTTTTCTAACTAGATTCTTGTCTCATTTAGAAACCTGTTTCCATTTAACTGGCCGGACCACAATTGTAGCACAAAACAATAGGGCACACTGAGAGAAGACATCTCAGAGGGGACACTAGGTTTCCTGCCTATGGCCGACATCTTTGGATGGTTCACCCAATACCCACTCCCAAGCCACTTTTATCCTTGCCTGGCTGAAAAAGCAAAATACTCACTTTCTTAGCTTCCTGTACAGCAAAGGCTGGCCAGATGATACCATTTGGGGCAATAAAAGGCATTATGACATGGAGAAATTCCAGCTCAGTGGTTAAAAGTATGGACTCCAGAGCCATATGCCTGGATTCACTCTCACTTTAAGATGTATAAATTTACTTTACTTGGCAATTTACTTAAACACAATTTCTTGGGAATAATAACTATATCTACTTCATAGTAAAATGTAAGAATTAAAGGAATTAACAAATGTACACAACTCAGAGGAGTATCTGGGTAAATGCTCTATAAAATGTTCACGCTTAGTATTTTTTATCACCCATAAGTGCCAACATGGAATAATCTCTAAGATATATTAAACAAAAGAAACGAGGTGTAGAAGAACACATAGAGAAGGCTCCCATTTGTATGAATAAAAAAGGGTTGGTGTATACACCTATACACCAGTATATATCCAGTAAGATATATACCTATCTGCATGTGCACACAGACCTGTGGAAATGAATAAAAACTATTCAGGAAACAGTTGTCTCCCTCTATATTGCATTGGATTTTTGAAATCATATGCTTGAATTACTTAAAGATTTTTAAATAATGTTTGTTTTAAAAGGCTCAAAAAAACCCCCCTTTCTCTTAACTTTAATTGTTCATCAAGGAAATGGACAGTCAGTTGCATAAAGAGGCAAGCTAATACAGGCTGGATGAATCTGTTAGATATGCTCCAGAAGCTTCCAAGAGGTTACCCTGGAAATGCTGCCAATTCCAAGATTCACCTTTCTGGTGATACGAAAGGAGAAAGGACCTGGGAAAGATGCCAGGATATGACCAAAAAAAAAAAAATTACAACTATTACAGACTGCTGGTATGAGACAGGACACACAGCACATGCATTCCAAGGCTGAGCTTGTCTCCTCTTTCCAGGGCAGAGCTGAAGAGCATAGGCTGTGGGGTCAGACAGGCATGGTGCGATTCGCCTCCTCACTGTATATGGTGGACTAAGTTATCTAATGTCTTGGAGTTTTCCCTCATCTGTGAAGTGGAAACATCCACCTGAGTTGGTATGGGAAATCGCAAACTAGCGAATGTGAAGCCCACAGCACTGCACTAGGCATGTTAACAAAGTACCTGAAGAGTGGTGGCAACTGTCACTAGAGGTGGAGAATGATCATCTTCAGATGACTTATTCCATGTGTCAATCTTTTAATGTACAAACATTAAAAAGTGACAAAACAGAAAGGAGTTTTAAATTGAACTAGTGGAGATAATCACATATAGTTGTTTTTGCAAATTCCACAACTGGATTATTAAGTCAAGATAGCTCCTGCTAAATTCTAACCTCCAAGGCTAAACTGTTATGCCCTATTCACTTACAGCACATCAAAGCATTCACTAAGCAAGGCCAATCTTCATGGCCCCTCATTTTTTAATCTTTCTTTGAAACCAAGAAGTCAGAGCAAAACCAGAAAGGGTTGTGCTATTGGCCAGAGGAGATGGTAGGAATGGCTTTGGCAACTTTATCTATTCCTTGGGGGTCTGTGCCCACAGACCATTTTAAAAGCTCCTCATGGGCTTGGCGCCTGTGGCTCAAGTGGCTAAGGTGCCAGCCATGTACACCCAAGGTGGCGGGTTCGAATCCAGCCCGGGCCCTTCAAACAACAACAGCTGCAACCAAAAAATAGCTGGGCATCGTGGCAGGCGCCTGTGGTCCCAGCTACTGGGGAGGCTGAGGCAGGAGACTCGCTTGAGCCCAGGAGTTGGAGGTTGCTGTGAGCTTTGATGCCAAGCACTCTACCCTGGGAGACAGCTTGAGGTTCCTGTCTCAAAAAAATAAAAAATAAAAATAAAAGCTCCTCATGAATATATGTGATTGGGCTCAAAGTATAGATATTTTAGTCTGAACTGTGGGGTTTATGGCAAATACAGGATGGGCTGAATGGTTCTAAGCCAGGGAGTGAGTGTTTACAACTGCTGTGTCTTCTATGATATCCAATGGGAGACTCCAACAAAGAACTTCACACAAGTAAAATCTGGGGTATTGAAGTCCCCCTTTTTAGTGAAAGCTAGAAGTCCTAGATCGGAATGTTAGAAAGTCTTTTATTAACCACCCTGACACAGCTAAGATCATTTTGAGAAGAAGAAAAACATTAACTATCCCTTGCATCAAGTTTTAATAGCCAACAAGAATCGAGGCACTGAAAAGTCACAAATGCTTTTTCCCCAGGATTATGAGCAATTGTAGCAACTGGCCAAATGTGTTAACTTAAGGAATGCTGAGCATTATCTATGTGAGTGGGGCTCAGCATGGGTAGTGTATAACCACGAGCAGCAGAGCAGCTACATCACCTCCAGGCTCAGAGAGTGCCACTGCTGCTCTATGGGCCTGTTTCAGACAGGATCTAGCCATCCACTGGATCAAGGGGTTGGAGTTTTGGAAACATGATTCTGTGTTCCACAGATAATAGTACAAAGTGACTGTTAATAGATAAGGTGTAAGCATAGCATTTGAAGACAGCTCCTCCAGCTGTCCTGTTATTAAATTCTTAAGAATTTAAAGCCTTGAAGGACTGAACAATTCTCAAGAATGTTTTTATAAGAAGGGTAGAACACGTCAAAGACACAAGAGTTCTTTGTAGATTCTGACTGGTTCACTTTGTCCCCAAGTTCATCTTAGAGCTCAAGCAAATCCAAGACTTGAGACAAAGACACTAGACTTGTGTCAGGGGCAAAAACTTCTGGTAGTAGCTCTTGGTGACGTCAATCATCAGCTCCTGAGTACATTCCGGGAGCTCCCCTGAGAAGAGTCCTGGGAAAAGAAAGATCTGTTTCTAAGGAGCTTGAATAAGTTAAAAGAGGTTAAGATATTTCTCTGGCAATATCCTTCTCACCTCAGATCAGTTGCACAAGCACTTAAAACAATTGCTGGGGCTGTTCTGGCCCAGCACTTGGTAAAAACAGCTCAACTTTCTCAGTGGAACCCCAATATAGGGAAGTTACTGAACAAAATTTTGTCTTCCTCCTCTACAAAAGCAGAGATTCATGACATAGCAGAATGGTCACTGCCTCCCCAAAAGAATAAGTGATGATTTTGCAAATCTTTGAAACTCATAATCATGATGTGAGTGATGAGACTAAGAAATGGTGGAAAAACAACTACACCACCCAGTAGAAGGTATCATACACTGTCAAATCTCTCTCTTCATATCATCTTCCATCTGTGAATTTGTGATGTACCTCTATACATACTACATACATGATTTCAACCTTGTAAAACAATATGGAGAAGATTGTCTTAGGGTAAAGATGAGGAATTATGAGGTTTTCTTCTTCCTTCTGCTTGTCAGTGTTTTCCAAGTTTTCTGATATGAGTGTAGATAATTTTTCTTTCCATATATATACATACATATATATATTTCAGAGACAGAGTCTTTATCACCCTCAGTAGAGTGTGATGGCATCACAGCTCACAGCAACCTCCAACTCCTGGCTTAAGCGATTCTCTTGCCTCAGCCTCCTGAGCAGCTGGGACTATAGGCATCCGCCAGAACACCTGACTATTTTTTCATTGCAGTTTGGCAGGGGCAGGGTTCGAACCCGCCACCCTCAGTATATGGGGCTGGTGCCCTACCTACTGAGCCACAGGCGCCACCCCCCCATATATTTCGTAATTTGGAACTCTGCACTCCCAAAAGGCTTTACCTGTGGGCTTTCTATTAGCCGAGGTCAAAAGGTAATACATTTGCTCCTCTCACATGTCTCAGAGGTACCACTGGTCTTAGACCATGGTTTATGCCAACTTTTCAGTTTGGGCATTCCTAGGCCACATGAGATATATAAATTAAACCCCTAACCAAAATGAGGGTTGGTTTATAACTATGAGGGTAACACTATAGTTACAATTCTCTACATAGACTTTTCCTTTTTCTACCAAGAGCCCAGGCCAGGAGAGAAATTCTGCTTTGTATTGTCCCAGTACTGGTGGCGGATTTGTTTAACATCAACCTTTTCCTGAGTGATAACGCTTCAAGATATTTGAGGCTCATTCTGCCATGTGTGGATCCGAGGCTTTGTTTCCTGTGCCCACATGAGTATCACACTGTAAGGTACTCTATTATAAAGATAGCATTAACCCATGCGATCTTACAGTGGTGGTTTACTTTCCTCTTTGTGTTTGACCCTTGATAATGTCCTTATTTTCTCATGAACACAACTGTTCATTTAAAAACATGCTCATTATATTTGAGATAATAGTACTACATACTACGTAACAGGTGAATTTTTAGGTTAGCTCTCTCAAGATTTGTTAGAGATAGAAACTGCATTCGTTAGTTTTGTAATGGAAAATAAAAATGAGTTTTAAAAAAGTTAAAATAAAAATAATCAATAACCAATGTTACCTGGGCATCCTGAGAAGACAGTGAATGGTGGGACCACAGTTTCTGGAGGTAATACTGTGTTGTCAAGAATTTTGCAGCAGTCTTTTAACACACATCGGCGCCCCTAAAATTAAAATCTTGTTAATAGGAAATCGATTGGGAATGGGAGTAATAAGTTGTCTAGTCTGCTATACGGAAGTCTATTTTATTTTTCCCCCATTCATGATATTGTGTAACCATAAGTAATAAGGAGTTGTTTGCAATTCCCTACACTTCTGGTAGTACCTGATGTGGAGGAGGAGGCGGGATTGTGAGAGTATATTTTGTGTACATTTAATGGGAAGAGCTGTGTGCTAGGAACAATATAAGCTATCTTAGGCGTTATAGATCATACAAATTTCAGTCTTCAAGAGATGTTTAATTTTCCCTTTGATTTAGTGGATATCTTTCTTTTGTTTGCCCAGCATTTGTTCCCCTTTCTTCTAATAACACAGCCTATATTTTCCTTGGGAACCACCCTACTCCCATCTCAGTCCATGTGTTTCACCCCCAGCTCATACAACAAACCGAAGCCTGACCACAGCAACTGGTGTAGGAAATTGTCATATGACCCAAATTAGTCTGATGAACCTTAACCTCAGAGCTTCTGGACTACTGGGAAAAAAACACTGGGGTTTCCAGAAAATAGGTTGGAAGTCTGGAACTTCTATCTTATTTCCATGGTGGAAGAACTTGCCTGAGAATGAACCACCCAGAGGAAAGCAGCAAAGGAGTGGAGGCTAACACTCATGATGTTGACTGAAGCCCTGGAGCCATTTGGCTACAACATTAGAATCTATTTCTGTACTCCTGGTTTATATTACCCAACCCACTCTGCTTTGCACCTATCAGTTTAAGGTTTGTTTGTTTGCTCTTCTGTCAATTCCAACTGGAAAAGTCCTGACAAATTTGGATATAAAATTATTAGTTCATTTCTCCTCCCACAGGTGAGTGGTAGCTATTTGAATGTCTGAGCTAAACCTCATGCTTGACTTTATTTACTGTCACCACTTTTCAGTTCTGCAGAGATCCACATTATTTTGAGGGGAAGAAAGAAGGCCTGGAAGAGTCATCTGTTTCACGGCTTGAGGAAAAAGAGGCTTCTATTGTATAGTTTAAAGTTGTGCCTCAGACTACTTGCTGTGTAAACAAAAGTTACACTCTTTATGGATTGCATTTATATCACCAGGGCCTATAAGTTCACTTGTACTCTGGTCAGACAACCTGATTAAAATATACCTGACTTAGAATGCAGAAACTTTAACAAATACCAAGACAATGGGCCACATACAATGGCTCATACCTGTAATCCTAGCACTCTGGGAGGTCCAAGTGGGATGATTACTTGAGCCAGGAGTTCAAGACCAGCCTGATCAAGAGCAAGATCCAGTCTCTTGGAAAATAGGAAAATTAGCCAGGTGTAGTGGCACATGCATGTAGTCCCAGCTACTTAGGAGCTTGAAGCAGGAGGGTCACTGGAGCCCAGGAGTTTAAGGTTGCAGTGAGTTATGATGATGCCATTGCACTAGTCTAACCTGGGCAACAAAGTGAGACCCTGTCTCAAAGAAAAAAAAAAAAAGGGCAGCACCCATAGCTCAGTGGGTAGGGCGCTGGCCATAAACACCGAGGCTGGCAGGTTCAAACCCGGCCCAGACCAGCTAAAACAACAATGACAACTGCAACAACAACAAAAACAGCTGAGCGTTGTGATGGGTGCCTGTAGTCCCAGCTACTGGGTAGGGTGAGGCAAGAGAATTGCTTAAGCCCAGGGGTTGGAGGTTGCTGTGAGCTGTGACACCAGGGCACTCTATCCATGAGACTCTATCTCAAAAAAAAAAAAAAAAAAGGTTCAGCCCCTGTAACCCATCAACTAAGGTGCCAGCTGCATACACCAGAGCTGGTGGGTTCAAATCCAGCCAGGGCCTGCCAAACAACGACAACTACAACCAAAAAATAGCCGGGCACTGTAGCGGGCGCCTGTAGTCCCAGCTATCAGAGAGGCTGAGGCAAGAGAATTGCTTAAGCCCTTGAGTTTGAGGTTGCTATGAGCTGTGATGCCACGGCACTCTACCCAGGGCAACAGCTTAAGACTCTGCCTCCCAAAAAAAAAAAAAAAGCTATTCTGACCAGACCTCAGATTTTATCAGAGAAAATGAAGATACTTCGATTTGGTTCCTCCATTATTAAATAGACAAATCATATGTATTTCCAAGAAAAGGCAGACTGCCAAATTATTTTCTTAAAAAGCTTATACCCCCATAGTCTGAATTCTCAAGTGGCTAAGCTGTTTCCAGGTGGGTAGATAATAGTACTGACAATACTTGCCAACATCTTTAGCTCAAACGCAAATTATGACTATAGTTCTTCATTCCTCCTTGGAAAGTTCTTTTCCATAAATTACCTGCTAGTAGTAATGTGAGAAATATAGCAACTACCTATTTCCCCGGTGAATCGGAAATTAATATTAACTCAAAGAATTCCTGTCATGTGTAAGCTCCTAATAACTCAGACTAAGCACGTGAGACACAGAGTAAAAGGAACAGAACATGCTGCAGAAGGCATAACACATTCCATGTAGGGATCCCCAAATAAAAGGCCTGGAAAAGAATAGTAGAAAGGAATCTTTTCACTGTGTACCACCAGACACCACTCAGCCTGTAGGTACCAGCTGTGTCCACTAGTTGGCCACCCTGCCCACTTAGAGAAATGATGCTTAACTGAGTTTCAGAGCATTTTTGGTAAGCTGATCAAACAGCAGCAAAATACACAGTGAGCTATCATGATGCTGCTGCAAAAATGCAGTCATAAATGGATTGGTAATAGTATGAAGGTAAACATCTGAAAACACTTCTTTGTTCTTCCCTGACAAGTTTTCAAGGAAGAGTCAAGAACTGTATGTAACTATGTTGCTAGTATTACAGCCACCTACATATTCTTATGCAAGTTGGTTAGCATCTTGGATTCCTCATCTGTGAAAGAGGACAAAAAACCAAACCTGCAGGGATATTGTCAAGATTAGAAATGATAAATGTGGCTCGGCGCCTGTGGCTCAGCGGCTAGGGCACCAGCCACATACACTGGCGTTGGAGGGTTCAAATCCAGCCTGGACCTACCAAACAACAATGACAAATACAACCAAAACATAGCCAGCATTGTGGCGGGCGCCTGTAGTCCCAGCTACTTGGGAGGCTGAGACAAGTGAATAGCTTAAGCCCAAGAGTTTGAGGTTGCTATGAGTTATGATGCCACAGCACCCTACCAAGGGCAACAAAGTGAGACTCTGTCTCCAAAAAAAAAAAAAAAAAAAAGATAAACGTAAAATTCATAACACAATTAACAGTGTCTATTAGTATTGCTTGTTAAGCTTTCCCTTCAGGCATTTGAGCAATGCTAATAAACACCTACACCTTCATATATCTGCACAGAAATTAGACTACCAAATGGGATGCTATAGGAAGGATCTGTGTGTCATGGGGACAAGTGGACTCTAACAGAGTTCTTGCTAGCTCTGAGATGCCAAAATTCTAAACAAATCTTTCTCCCTAGATTACTTGAGAATTTATCAAGGCTCAGCAAGTATCATCAATACTAAACAATGACCATGTCATGAATGGATGTATTAAATAATAGTACAGGCTCAGCACCTGTGGCTCAAGTGGCTAAGGTGCCGGCCACATACACCTGAGTTGGCGGGTTCAAATCCAGCTCCGGCCCGCCAAACAACGACAGCTACAACCAAAAAATAGTTGGGCGTAGTGGCGGGCGCCTATAGTCCTAGCTACTTGGGAGATTGAGACAAGAGAATAGCTTGAGCCCAGGAGTTGGAGGTTACTGTGAGCTGTGATGCCATGGCACTCTACCCAGGGTGACAGCTTGAGGCTCTGTCTCAAAAAATAAAAAAAATTGAAAAAATAAAAAGTAGTACAAAAAGCAGAACACCTGACAATAGAAGTAGAATTCCCTAAGCATTGGGACCAGAATCTGGATTTTAACCATTCAGACTTTTGCTCTGGGATAAAGGACAGGGTTATAGAACTAGACTACTCTGGTGATATCTTCATTTTGCCAAGAAAACCATCAGAAAAACCCAACTGTGGCTTGGAAGGCTAGAATTCATTAAACAGGGTAGAGGGAGAGGGAAGATTTTACTATCTTTCCCCTTTCTTCAACATCAGACTGAGCCAAAGACTTTCTGTCCCTAACACTAAGGAATTCCTCTGCTATGAGAATATCTGACAGAACCACCATTTCCCAGACTGGAAAGGTTTGTGAAGCAATGTGGTTTTCCTGCATCATTTGCTGTGCCCTTATGGCTCCTCGAATGTAAACTGCATTGTTTCTATAAGCTTTTTGATATTTTAGGGTCTGAGTCTTATCCAGGGCAATAATCAAAGGAAAGAGTTTAACATCATATGGAAGAGGTTCAATAAAAGTTAGCCTATTATTAACATGTAGGAATAACTTCAACTCTGACAAGAAAGACTCAACCTTGGAAGATTGGAAAATACTCCTATTCTGCTTGCTCACAGAAGCAAAGTCCCACTGATGTAAGGGATGGGAGCTAGAAGGGAAATGAGCTTGCTTTGCCAGCCAAGGCACCATACTCACAATCACACAGTTCTTGCCAACATGAACGTAGGAACCAATCTGAGCTGCGTTGACCACACAATCTTCCTCAATAAAGACATGGTCCCCAATATGTAAAGGAAAGAATGCAACACTAGAGAAGGAAAAGAAGATGAAAAAAGAAAGGTCAAGGTAATATAGTTTTGTGTCTAGGATTATAGAACTACATATCATAATCTCAACTTCATCATCTTGTCTTAATAAGACTTTTTTGAGCAAGGAAAGAATCCTCAGGCTAGAAAAATTCTATGTTGAAGAAGATAAATGCAATCTCTACCTCAAAAATCAGAAATAGAGGCTGGGTACAGTGGCTCATGCCTGTAATCCTAACACTCGGGAAAGCCAAGGCAGATGGATTGCCTGAGCTCATGGGTTTGAGACCAGCCTGAGCAAGAGTGAGACCCTGTCTCTAAAAATAGCCAGGTGTTGTGGAGGGCACCTGCAGTCTCAGCTACTTAGGAGGCTGAGGCAAGAGAATCACTTGAGCCCAAGAGGTTGAGGGTGCTGTGAGCTATGACGCCATAGCACTACCAAGGGTGACAAAGTGAGACTCCATCTCAAAATTAAAAAAAAAAAAAAAAGTCAGAAATAGTAGGAAAAAAAAATATGCAGGCTCAGCAATCGTAGCACAGTGGATACGACGCCAGCTGCATACACCAAGGCTGTGGATTCAAACCCGGCCCAGGCCAGCCAAACAACAATGACAACTGCAACAAAAAAAATAGCCAGGCATTGTGGCAGGCGCGTATAGACCCAGCTACTTCGGAGGCTGAGGCAAGAGAAATCGCTTAAGCCCAAGAGTTTGAGGTTGCTGTGAGCTGTTATGCCACAGCTGAGAGTGACATAATGAGACTCTGTCTAAAAAAAAAAAAAAGGAAAAAATATGCAATGAAAATGCAAAGAAGAAAGGAAAAGATTTTCAAAGCTAAAAGAACAGGCACCAAATAAAATTAATGAATGTTTGCTCATTTGTACTTCCTTTGAAAATGCTCAGAATCACATTTTTTTGAGGGGGAGACAGAATCTCACTTTATGTGGCCCTTGATAGAGTGCTGTGGCGTCACAGCTCACAGCAACCTCCAACTCTTGGGCTTAAACAATTCTCTTTTCCTCAGGCTACCAGGTAACTGGGACTATAGGCGTCCACCACAACTCCCGGCCATTGGTTGCAGTTGTCATTGTTGTTCAGCTGGCCCAAGCTGAGTTCAAACCCACAAGCCTCGGTGTATGTGGCTGGTGCCGGGCGCCGAGCTGTGAATCACATTTCTTTTTTGTGTGTGTGGTTTTTGGCCGGGGCTGGGTTTGAACCCACCACTGCCAGCATATGGGGCTGGTGCCCTACTCCTCTGAGCCACAGGTGCCACCCATGTGAATGACATTTTTAGTAATATGCCCAATAATGTTTCAGGAGATTGACGTAAGCTCATGGGCTATAAGTTCTAGCACTCAACATTCTGAAATATTATTTATTCACCAATTTTACTGAGTGCCTACAATGTACCAGACCCTCTGCTAGGAATGAGAGATACAATGGTGAGCAAAAGAGCCATAGTCCTACCCATGAGGACCCTACAATTAAGAGAATAAATGAGATGAAATAATTATGAAAGTAAGTACTTATAACTGTGACAAGGGCTACAGAGATAGAATATCAAATTATGAGAGTATAGAACAAAGAGAATCTACCCAGTCCAGGGGTGTGGGAAAAGTTTAATTGAAAGTGACATTTAAGCAAAGAATTAAGGGATGAGAGGAGTTAGCAGGCTTTCTACAGACTTTTAACATCATTCTCATTCTCCCAGATTCATCAACTGTCACTGACAGTGGATCTGTGATTACATTTATAATTAATTTTAGTACCTTGGAATGTACATTTGGTTTGGAGCTGATATAAAGTACCTAGATCAATGTTTTTCAACCTTTGTTATCTCAAGGCACACTTGAACCTATAGTTAAACTTCCATGGAACATTTAAATTATGTTAATCAAAAAAGTCGTAAAAAAAGAACATATTTATAGGGCTTTGAACTTCTTTTGAAAGTAATTTAAAGGCTCGGCGCCTATAGCTCAACCGGCTAAGGTGCCAGCCACGTACACCTAAGGTGGCGGGTTCGAATCCCCAGCCCGGACCCGCCAAACAACAATGACGGCTGCAACCAAAAA